TTTTTTTTTTTTTTTTTTTTTTAAATACACGTCTATACCTTACTGTGTGTTGTAGCTCGTTAACTCGTGCCTGTCCCCTAAATGGGACTCCCATTGCGAGCCCCTTGCTTGCACATGCTGGGGCCCGGGTGTGTACCTACGTGCACAGGCACGCGCCTAGTAGGGGTATCAGTGGTCAGGATTTGGTGCAGAAAAGACTAGTCCAGTTTATTTCTTGGTTTCACGGTGGATGAGGCTGAAAAACCCCAAGCCTGATTCTTTCTTGAGCGTTTGAAGTTTAGTCTAAACGTCTTCTGCTCGTTCTCGGCCCACCGGAGGCAACCGCCTCAGCAGTGGAGCTGAGCAAGCCACTTCTGAGGCGCCCGAGTACCGCCGGGCTCTAATGTACACCCGGTCACTGACAAGGCAGTTTGTAAATTCCAGGGCTTTGCCAGAGCTTGCCCGAGTGATTCCTATGAGCCAGGAAAACTCCTAAGTGCCATGAACCTTAGATTGCCATCTCAGATGTTTCCATTCCGCGCGTGACGCAGTCCCGCATCAGAACCACGCGTCTTAGTGGCTCATTTACACATCGCAAAGTGCTGCCTGTTACAAGGGTGTTGTTCCGTTAGGCTGATTTGTCAAACCTTAAAAAGAACCCGTGTTCAATGTGCCGATTCCCTTTTTCATGCAAACCCACTAGAGGTTTGGGTTCTCTTGATCTCTCTGTACTCTGTTCCAAGTCTTCCTGAGGTTAAAAGGTGCACTTCTGGGAGGGGATGGTGTTCGCACGTACCTGGGTTTGCCCGCATGTTAAGGCAGACAAGACTTCCTGTTACCCAAGGTGACTGGATCAGTCACCTCTGGATTTTTGGTGGCGGTGTTGCTGGCTGTCAGAACCCTTTCTGGCAGCCGAGGCTGGGGCTGGTATTCCTCAAGTACAACGGAGCCTCCCTGGGGACTGAGATCCCACCTGATCACCTCCCCAGGAGGTCTGTCTGGATGCTCTTGCTAGTTACTAGAGCGGCCAGACCTGCCCCAGGCAGGGATGAAACTTCCTTTTCCACCCCAAGGCAAACACTTTCTGATTTGATGGGCTCCCTAACCTCAGTGAATAACCTTCCTACACTACGAGAGACATTTCTGAATCGGGGAGACCTTAGCACACATCTGCATCTTTCCCATCTGGTTCGAGAGAACATCTTGGCTTCATAGCCTCAGAACCTGTGGCTCTTCAAGGGATCTTAAAGGATGCCCACCGAACGGGACTTACCGTCTCAACTTCTGTGTTCCTTCTGATGCGTGCGTGGGCCCAACGGCTCAGATGCCATGAAGGGTGTGGGTGTGTTCAGGATGTGTATCTGGGGCTGGGGGTGGCAAACAGACCACAGAAGGGAGGGAGCCAGCGGCTCTGTCATGCAGCCAACTCAACAGAGGCCCTTCTTGGAGGCGATCCTGTAGGACACTGAGGTAGGACCTAGGGCTCATGCGTGTGTAGGAACAGCCCTGGGGGGATGTATATATATCCCAGTGTCTACACTAGGGTGGCCAGAAGGGGGTTTTAAGCGGAAGCTACTTCTTAAGAATGCTCCATACCCACTGTGGGGCTCGAACTCAGGACCTTGAGATCCAGAGTCCCACGCTCTACCGACTGAGCCAGGCCAGGCACCCCGCCGTAAGTGGAAGCGATTGGCCGCTTGGCTTGGAGCCTGTTTCCCAGTGGCAGGGGCTCTGGCCCAGGGCCCCCCCTCACAGTGGCATTCTGAGGTGTGATGTTTGCACTGGCTGTCCTGAGCACACGGCGCCCTAGTGTGCAGCGACCGTCCCTTCCTGGGCCCGGCGCCCCCAGAGAGCAGCATGCGGCAGGGCTGTTACAAAGGCGTTTAGTTTATTTTCCTCAGTGTCACTGATATTCTCATGGTTCACATTTCCCAGTGCGGCTCCTCTCCTTACAGTAGTTAATGTGCAATCTCACTTACGGGCCCGGGGAGTGGGGGGTCGGCCCAGGGCGGGGAGGGCGTTGGCACTTCACACGGACAGGGCGGGCGGTCTGTCCTGCGTGAAAGAGGCGGGTGAGTGGG